CTGCTATCACGATGAATGACCTTGAATCGAACTATCATCAAGATGCAGTCTTCTTGGCTTTGGCCGCTCTCCAATCACGGGGCAGAAGTTCCCATAAAAGTCTTATCACTTTCCTTAAATGCTCAGCTCAGGTCACGCTAAGAATGGCGTGCAGTGAGCGTGGAATATTCAAGCTTAAAGTTTATCTGATGTATCCTCCGGTATTGAAATCTCCTGATCGGCAGAGAAGTTTCTCCGGCTTCCCTTCCCCCTTTCCGTTCGCTTCCCAACTGCTAGCGCAGCCACCCGCACGATCCCACTTGGGATGAACCTATAATATTGAGACAAGTCCAAGCGCGCTCGGCCGCCAAGTCCCTGGATCCAAACCTCAATCACCCCAAAAAGTTTGTGGCTTTCTCGAACTGCCCATTCGATGATGGCTTCAACTTGATCATCCCCGTCAAGGGCCATTCGAGAAGGTCCCCATGGTAGTTGACCGGGAGAAGTTGTAGGTTGGTAAGTGATGTAAATCGCTCAAGCTCTTGGCTCTTGATAAAGCTGCCTTCGAGTTAACTTGCTTTCCTGAGAATCTGGTACAGCTTTAGAAGTATCTCTGCATCAAAGAATATAAATACTATCTAGGTATCTTCTCAATGATCCGCATCAATCTAGACATTGTCCACAGGTATCTGAGCACATTTTTAACAATCACTTCACTTGAATCATCAATTCATCATGGTTTCTTACTTCGCCCGTCTCGTCGCACTGGCGGCGGTTATCCCAGCAGTATTCGCTGCACCAGCTCCAGCAGCTCATCATCTCAAAATTCGCAATCCAGAGGCTTCAGACGTTGTCCCCGACTCGTACATTGTCATCTACAACCATGATGTAAATGCAACCATGATTGCTAGTCATGTGGCTTCAGTCAGCTCTATGCTTTCCCGACGAGATCTGACTGGCATTGGAGCTACTTTTGATAGTATTTACATTTCATCCTCCTCGGCTCTTCTTCAGTACTAATTAATTTTAGTGGACATGCTTAAGGGCTACCAAGTTACAGCTGATACAAGAGCAATTGCTGAGATCGCTGCATCCCCAGAGGTATGTCTCCTATTTCTGCGCGAAGAATGATCTGACAGACATAGGTTGCATACATTGAGAAGGACGCCAAAGTCTATGCTTCCGACCTCACTTCTCAGACTGGAGCAACCTATGGACTTGGCCGCATCTCTCACCGCAACCAGGATTCAACTACATACATCTATGATTCTTCCGCTGGTAGCGGCATCACAGTATATGTTGTCGACACTGGTATCTATACTCAGCACAGCCAATTCGGAGGCCGTGCTACTTTTGGTGCCAACTATATTTCTGGCTCACCAGTAAGGTCCCCTTCTGCGGATTAATCGCTGCTTATTGACACAACCCAGAACACTGACGAGAATGGTCACGGCACCCACTGCTCAGGGACTATTGCAGGCTCCACCTATGGCGTTGCTAAGAATGCCAAGCTTGTCGCCGTCAAGGTCTTGGACAAGAGCGGCTCTGGCTCCACCTCAGGCGTCATTTCAGGTATCCAATGGGTCGGCAATAACGCCGCTGCCCGCTCCGTCCTTAGCATGTCCCTCGGAGGTTCCTTCTCCTCGTCCGTCAACTCCGCCGTCCGCAGCACAGTCAACAAAGGTGTCACCGTCGTCGTAGCAGCCGGCAATGACGATGACGATGCCTCCAACTACTCGCCTGCATCTGAATCCACTGCTATCACCGTAGGAGCCATCGATGCTGATGATAACCGTGCAAGCTTCTCGAACTATGGCAGTCTGGTCGATGTCTTTGGTCCTGGTGTCAACATCTTGAGCTCCTGGATTGGAAGCACTACTGCTACTAACACCATTAGTGGAACTTCCATGGCCACTCCTCACATTGCGGGTCTTGCTGCTTACTTGATTGCACTTGAGGACATCGCATCTCCAGCTGCGGTTCAGAGTCGGATCAAGGCTCTTGCTACTAGTGGAAAGGTTGTTGATGCCGAGAGTGCCAATAATCTGATCGGGTACAATGGAAATGGAGCGTAAGTGGGTACCTGGGAGGCTTATTGTTCGAAGGTTTGGAATTGGTAGGAAGAGGATGTCTATAATGTATCTGGGAGTTGTGAAGTTGATGCTCGTTCTGAATGTTCGGTATATGGAAGGGGATTGTGAGAGTAACATCTTGGCTTGGTTCTTGTTGTACAAAAGAATCGAAGGCTGAAGCTGAAGGATGTTGATAATATTTCTATTATTAATTGAAGCCGTATTTGATCATGATTGGGCTTCTAGTTCTTGATGCGGTGCATCTTCAAAAAGCAAACTAAAACCATTTACAAAAGTCAAATATACTGATACTCGCAAGGAGATTAGTGCTGACTATATCCTCCACTATCAGACAAGTTTGCCGTTAAGCCACGACATCTCGCGCTTGTTAGAGTGTGCCTCATCCACCTCGACAGATGAATGAAGACGAGACGTCCAATAAACAATTCAATGAACTACCAAAGACACGTAGCCCGTGTGCATGCAATAATATCGTTGTGTTTATTGTCTGGAAGAATCACAAGAGACCCAAGAAAACCAACGCAAATGCAAACAGAAAAGTATCCAGATTTACCTCTTCGGAGATGCATCAATTAAATGCGACGGCTTGATCTTCTGACCGTCTTGGAGAACGGAAGAAACGAGGATATAAACCAAGGACATCCCCGCCATCCCAAACGACACGTCAGGTTTCAGATCCACAAGTGTCATCACTACCCCGCACTTCATCTCCAGTGAAGTTTTCCTCGATCTTCTTTCTCCCCATCCTGCTCTCTTTCAAGGTTCTGTTATCTTCCTTTCCGAAGCTCTTTCGAAAACTCCCTCGTCAAGATGGCAGCTTCCGTTGCTCAAAGTATCCCAGTCCAATTCAAGAATATCGTCCTCGAAGCTCCAGTCAACCCGCATGCAGGCATTTTGCCTGCCATTGATGTAAGTTCCAGCACCTCTAAAGAAGCCTACAAAGATCTTGCCGAAGCAGCTTCCACCGTAGGATGCGCTCTCATCACCAATCTCGCCGCAAAGCCCCCAATTGCCTCCATCCAACGACTCTTCACCACCCTCTACTGCACTCCCGACCTCGCGACCCGTCTCAACGCAACTTATCCCACTCGCGGAGTCTTCAAGACCGCTTGCTTGAACCCAGACAGCAACCCTTCCATCGACCAAAAGACTACCATCGATCTCTCCGTCGCTCGTCTGCAGAAACTCCGCGAGATTGATCCAGCTCTTGTCGCAGATCTAGGTCAAGATTTTACCGATGTCTTAGACTTTTACCAAGTTGTCGAGAAAGATATCCTTCCTCTTCTCCTTGCAGCAACCTCCCGCATCACCAGACAAGACCTCTCCGTCTTGCATTCCCAGCAAAATAACAACCTCCGGCTCATCGATTACTTTCCAGCTTCCAATCCGACAGGTCCCCGATGTGGCGAGCACCGCGATTATGGAACCTACACTGTGACGTTCCAAGATGGTTCTGTTGGCGGTCTCGAGTTTGAAATTGATGGACATTGGGTCCCGGTCCCTATCAACGTTGATGCGGTCGTGTCTTGGGGTTGGTGTGGTGCTATTTTGAGTGATGATAAGGCGAAGGCTGCTAAGCATAGAGTGTTGAGGACCAATCCTGTGCAGAAAAGAAGAACGACCGCAAATGTTTTCGTTGCACCAGACTTGGATGCAGTTTTGAAGCCAGTTGGGGAGGGAAGTGCCGAGGGAAAATGGAGTAAGATGATTCTGAATGGCGGATTAAAGGTGGGACAGTTCAAGGAGATTCTTTCGAAGACATGGCGGAGGAGAGAGGGGAATGAGGAGGGCGAGGTGGTCGAAGGAGGGCAGGATAATGAGGTTTTGGAGTTTGTGAAGGGTGTTTGAATTGAGTTGAGGTTTATAGGATCTGAGGTTTGTCAGTTGTAATAGCAAGATTTACAACTGGTAAATTCCAGCTCTTGCATTGCTTGCATTATCCGGCATGTCCTGAATGATGCCGAATACTCAGAAATTCTGGGCCGCTTGTTTGCAATTCTGGAACATTGAGTCTTTGAAATCAAAAGGGATGCATCACTCACCATTTCTTATCACCTATGCAAAGAAAGCGAAACGTCTTGCGGTTGGGAGGGTATGGCCTATTAAAGAAGTCTGCTATTTGGCTATAATATTTTTTACTCATCTCGAAAAAAATAATAAAGACGAGGCATTCGACAAACACTTTAACAAAATATCAAAAACACATAGCTTGTGTATATGCATATGAAATTATTATGTTTATAGTCTCTATTACTATCGTTACATACCACTCAAGAAGCCCCTATAGAAATTTCGACGTTTACCAAAAGTCCAACACAGATCCAGTAGGTTCATATTCATACTACTGCATCTCATCCAAAACACCATTCCAGAAACTATCCCAATCAGGGAAGTCATTGTCAAACCAAGATCCAGCAATCGCCACATGTAACATGGGCTGCGAAACAGCAATTCAAGCCAAAAAGCTGCATTTTATAAACTAAAGCAAGAAGTAGGTGCAGCTGATTTCTAATTTTCTATGAATTGATCGCTTTTAGCATAATTCATTCAAGCTAAGCTCAACTCTAATTATGCTATAACTCTAAGCAAAGTAAAGTAAAACGAGCGTGCAAATACTAAAACCAAATAATCAATCACATTGAAAACAGTTCAAAAAGACAAAAAAATACACTTATAAACGAACATCACACATCCATCCAACCACAAAATATCATCCTCAAACCCATCCCGAACATCACAAAAGGAGAGACCTCTCCCGGCAGCAAGAGCACGTCTCCTTCCCTTCTCAGAAACTAACCCAAACCCGGCTAACCTCTCCCTTTAGACTACCTCCATCAAAACTACCGCCTAGCACAAAAAAATCAAACTAAAAAGTAATCTCCAATATCCACAATTAAAAAAAATCTGCACAAAAAAATATTTATTCTTCTCCATTGCAGGGAATCGAACCCTGGGCAACCGCGGACTCAGAGGAGATCCCTCTTGAGAGGCGGATATGTTACCATTACACCACAATGGATGTGTTTTGATTTTGAAAGAATGTTGTTATTTAAAACTATAAACACGTTCGGGCTGCGGGGCTAAAATTTTATTTTTGGGTGGAGCTGGCTCGCTTGATAAAGTGGGTATGGTAGAGCAAGGCAAACAGAGACCAAACGGCATTCAGGCAAGCGAAATCAAGGATTTTAAGGTAAGTGGCGCTTGCCGGTCTATAGAGTTCAAATGAGATCAAGTAGAAGAAGTATGGATTGAGAGCAACGAGGACATTCTATTGCAATCTAATGCTCATGCTTAAGTGCAGCCGTAAACTTCGTAATTCATCACCTTCCCATTCCACCCCATGCCTACCATTTCGAACCCAGTCCCTTGAATATCTACAACCTCCAGCCCGGAATTATGCGTTCAAACCCATAGCCTTTCTGACCCTTCTCCAAAGCTCAGCCGCCATAGCATCCCTGCCATCCCTTGTCCTCTGCACCGCATCCTTATTCTCTTGCGCTCTCCTCAGCAGATACTTCATACACTCGCCCGTCGTTCCCCAGACAAGATACTTGTATACCCTCGGCACATCCATCTCTGGCCTCTTACTCTTTTCTGCTAGACCAGCCTGCACCAATTCACAACTAACCTCATCCGCCATTCCTTGCAACTGCGCATAAACAAGCTCAATTTGCTTCTCCCCTCTCTCCTTCTGACTTTGCCTCAACGCCTTGACTTTCCTGACCGAGTTGATATTATGTCCTGCCAACACCACATTAACTTCGGGAAACTCCTTCTGTCCACCCACAGCCTCGAGAACAGGTCCATATGATCGACGGCATAGACTCTCCGCAATTCCATCATAAGCTCTATCTGTGTCTGCTTTCGTATCATGAATCAGATGTCTCGGATCGCTTCCCAAGTATGCTCCCCTGACAAGCTTGACCCCCAATGTAAAACCACCCTCTTTCGCAGCCTTCAAATGCGTGGCGAGAACTTTCGGAGTAACTTTCAAATAAGCCTGATATGTGCCATACACGGTCGCTCGACCTGGAATTTTGCTATTGTATCTCCGCATGTACTCCAAAGTCCATTTATCGATTCCCTTTTGGATAGATGCTTGCTCAGCGTCAAACAACAACTTAACGTCCCTTTCCTCCGCAAGATCACAGATATTATCGATTGCTTCCCCCAATGCTGCACTCGGCCCAGTCTCTTGGCTTAAATCAAATAATGCTTGACTGCCTGCCCCAGTGAATTTCAATGCCACGAAGTCTCCTGGTCGAGTCATCTTCACCGTCTCCATAGTTCCATTCGCCCAGGGTATGATCTCTTCTTTGATGCATTGCTCGGCTGCAGAGGAATCACCACAGGAGGAGAGAGATGCATGTTGCGACTCGGACAACACAACTTCTCTGGCATATGCAAGAATAACGCCACTGAAACCAAGGGAACGGAGGTTCGAAGCCGTAGCGTGAACCTCTGATGCATTCTCACCAGCACAGAATTGCCGATAGAAGGTTTTCTTGAGGAACAGCCGCAGTAGAGGGTTGGTATCTGGTGACAGAATCGGCGAATTTGTGTGCGCAAGTTTGGCCATTACGAATAGGGAAGGGGGGAGGAGGAGCTAAACTGTCAGCACTAGAAGAAGAATAGAGTAAGAGCTCGTACAGTTGAGGATGATATTGACGTTATCGCTAATGATCTGACGATAGAACTGAGGGGTAGAATCGAGAGTGGGGTTGCCTTTGGCATCGTGGGAGGAGCATCTGGAGTAACACTCTCTGATGTAGGAAACTTTTCTGTGGAAGCATGATCCGATGCAATTGAAGATTGCCGAGGAAGAGTCTGGGAAGAAAGGAATCTAGAGAAAATGGATTGGGTCCTGCTCTTTACGAGCTTCAATGCCTTTGTTGAGCCCGCCATGGCAGCTACAATGGACGTTCCTAACGAATTCGACAAACTTATAAATGAATTGAGAATTGAACTGGAGAAACGATGGGAACACAAGATATTAACACGAATCAAAGGAAACAAAGCAGCGACTTCGGCATGGTAGTACATAGAACCTGTCCCTGATGGCAATGAGGGGCAAGAACTAACGACGTTATCGCGGCCAATTGATAGGAGCTTATCGGCTGAGCCGACGAAAGCCGGCTTTGTTGAATGCACGGCGCTGGTGTCGAATTGGCAGGAACAACACCACCATTCCGGTTGGACAGAAGTTGTGGGGGATATCAGAAGACTGCGGTCATGTCATTCCGGAGCTTTCTACGTCGACCTTTCGACGTCCTTTTCGTAATATGAACTCCACATAGGCTAGCCGTCTTCCCTTTGCGGCTGCTATTGCATCTTGTGCAAGCCCATATGCCAAGCCGATAGCCAGTCCAGTCTTCGCCGTTCTCGCTGCGGTGGTGACGGGGAATCGGTCTATTCTGATTAGTCTAGGAGGTTCAAGGTCTGGGGGCTGCATACTCCACAAGCTGAAGCCACCGGCAACTGATAGACTGGCAATCACGGTATTGAGAAAGTCCTTGGTCCCCCTATACCGGTCGAACATTTCTTCAATACTGAAGAATCCAGCTGTCCAGAAGCTGACCTTGGCTCCCATCCTCAATCCCTCCTTCACTCCAGCCAAAGCCATATTGTAATTCTTGCTCTTGTGATACAGATACCATCCTGTTGGTGTAGTTGGTAGTCTATGAGCATTCTCTGCTCTGAACCGTAGCCCGGCCGTCTGGCTACCGTGCGGAATCCCCAGAGCGATACCCGTGAGAAAAGAGAGTGATGTCGCAGCGGTGAGGCGCATAGGGAAGGGAAGGGAGAACCTTGAGTCGAGTCTCAACAGCCGCATCTGTTCCCGCCTCCATTGTCTGTGCTTCTCCAATGCCTCCTCCTCGATGTCCGACATTTGGTGATGCAAAAGATGGGACGACGTTGAGGTTGCAAGGCTGCCAGAAGAATGTTGCACAGGCTTACGGCATCACGTGAGAGCGTGCCGAGATTGAAGGCTTCAGCCTCCTTTTTCGCGACTGTCGCGCACAACATTTCGCAAGTCCAAAGCTCGACGCCGACTTGGTAGATTTCACGAAATGGCAAGCTACCCGATTAGATGCTTCATTTATGAAGGCTAAATGTATACAGGTCGGACCGGCAGAGATTCAATCCACCGCTTTAACGCTGCGCTTCAAGCATGGCAAGCATACTATCCTCCTCTTCGCGGAATCGACCACACCCTTCACCACTATAAAGACCGATTTACTTGAGGTCCTCCACGAGCGCTACCCACAAGGGTTTCCTGTTGGAGAAGATCAGGTAGAGACTGAGATCCCCACAGACATTTCCGACCTGGCCTTAGCAGAGCCAACCGACGTGTATGACATTAGCAAGGGGTGGATTGAGCTTGACATTGGGGGAAGCATCAGGGAGACACCTGCGAGTTTGAAGCTCAAGGATGGAGCGATGCTAGCCTTTGCATTTACAGGGGACGATGATGCTGCGGCGGACTTCTATGTTGAATCTCCGAACCTGGCTGAGCTCTATGGAGATGATGCTTGAACGAGGAGGCATTAGAGTTTGGATGGAGCATAAGTGACGTTACGGAGTGGGCGCATTGGTTGCAACAAGCATGATACACATGATTGAGGATAAGCTCAAGGTATTGAGCGGGTTATGATATCCTTGAAAATGCCGGAAGATTGTTTCCAGCATGATTTCAGAAATATACCGAAAGGACTATGGACAACCATGCAAAGTTCGTTCCTTACACTAACAATATCCTTATTGAACTTTTTTCACTTCAGCCTCCAGATAACTTCCAGCAACTTTCCTCCCATCAGGCAATACTTTCTCCGTTTTCCTGATCGCTGCAAAGAACACAGGATACACCAGATCACAAACCAAACAAGTAACCCACATAAACACCGCAAACGGATTACAGAAGTACTCATGTGCCTCTCTCCACATCCACCACTCCCACCCGTAATTCACATACAATCCAAACGTGCTCCCTAACATCCTCGTTCCCCAGATCCCCCAGCTCACTCCTCCAGTATGCTGTCTCACGAACAGACTTAGCAAACTCGCAACGCTCAGCACCACCTGACAAAACAATGCTGACCAGAATCCCAGTTCAGTAGTGTCCGGTCCTACTCTTCCCATATAGAACTTCCCTTCTTTCTTCCCAATATCATTATCCAGCCACCATTTCGCAACTGCCCAATGGCCAGCCGTACACCAAGCTGTCGTGATCCAGAAAAGAGTTCCAAGATGCTTCTTCACAAACGGAGCATGATTCCATTCTTCTTTCCCGAAAGTAAGAACGCCATAAACCATTCCACAATCGAGGAGGAGCCAGATAGTAAAGACGATCCGTTCGAGTGGTGCTTCGGCGACGAAGAGAGCATAAACGGCTTCCCATGCGAGATTCTGGCAGAGGGCGAAGAGAGGCATGCCATAGGTACGGTCTTTGTATGATTGACGGGTGAGCAGAATGTAAGTCAGCGTCCAGAGGCCTCCTCCGACTTGGAGAAAAGCATTCGAGACGGGGACGACATAGGACGGCACATGAGGTGGAGAAATGTCGTTTGAGCCCATGCTGAGAGATGTATTTCAGAAATGGGCGAAAATAGAAGACAGAGAATCAGGCCTGACAATGAACAGCGTACATGGGGACAATGGAAGATATAAATCTTTCGAGGGTAATGAGACGGAATGATGACCCACATCCTTGCGAAAATCGTTGTGTAGCTTACCTAACATAAGCATGTTGAAAACGACGATTATTTGAACTTGGCATCACGAGATGAAGCTTCTCATATCCAGGGAATCTTGAAGCTATTCGGAATCTGGTAAACAAAATTCCATTGGTATGACAGAATGACGGCTTCAATAATAGCTTGAAGGTTGTCGACCCTTGCTGACTATCAGGGGCATGTCAACCTCGGCTTCCCCAGACCGTACTGGACCCCGCAACGTCAGTAATCAAAAACCATGGCTGTCAGCAGCAATTCAACGTCGCCCAATGCATCTCTATCGATT